ATTTTTCCATGAGCCTGCACCAGCTGCAGGATTATTCCCTGCCAAACCAYCACACTGGAGAAAACAATTATTCCTCATTTTGCATTTAGTGAGGCAGYGCCAGCCCCACTCTGCTCTCCACTGCTGGAACCAGGAGAACAGCCCCTCCCCTGCCCTTCCCACTTCTACCCTGCAAATCCAGGCAGCAACACTAAAAGCCCAATCTGTAAAGCCTCTTTTTAACCACTTTGCTCTAAGAATTGGCCCTCTTTGCCCAATGTTCACAAACACACCCTGGAAGCACCAAGCCCAGCTCCAGAATTGTCTGTGCCAAGTCCCCACCCCAGCAGCCAAGGGAACCAATCCCTCTGCTCAGATGCCTTTACACCACTTTTTCCCTGCAGGTATTTTCTCTGAAGTGCCTGTGCTTTCAGCCAAAACAAATCCACCCTGGTGCTATCCAAGAGATCAGAGTTTCCCTTTTTTTGAGGTTGCCATAGGCAGAGCCCTTCCTCTCAAAGACCTTGCAGGAGGATACAGCTGCTATGATATAATACAGGAGGGGTATTAAATCCAAGCAAACCATCTGCATCTCCCTTAYCCCTCACTGACACTGTCCAGAGAAYCAGAACTAGAAGWACCCTCAGCCTCTGACATCAGAGCAATGTTTTGCAGGTGGAGATATTTCACAGCCATACACTCGTGGAGTGAACAGAAATTTGAAAGCCAAGAGTAAACACATTCAAACTCTCAGGTATTTCATTCTCTGCTACACAGTCGGGCAGAGAAAAGCCCCTGGTGTGCAGGCAGGGACTCGAGGAGGGAACAGACATTATCTCTGTCAGGGAATGTTCCCAGGGAGCAGGTGAGGAGGAGGAAAATCCCCACACTCACATGAAAGCAGTGAGAAGCTCCTGAGAAGTTCCTGTCTCCAGAGTGGCCTCCAGTTCAAGACCAGAAGATGGATTTGGACCAGCTCACATTGCTGCAGAGACTTTGAGGATGCCAGAAAGGATCATTCACAAGTAAATTGATTCCTGTTGCTGCCCTTACATCCAGAGATCATCTGAGGAAGTTTAAGGCATGGAAACAGAACATTGGCTAAGGCTCCTACCTTCCCACAGCATGGCTGGACAGTGGGGAGGAGCTCCATGAAGCTCCAACATGGGAGGATGAGGAATCTTTCAGAAAACAGGGATATCCCCAAGTTCTTCCAGCCAGTGCCAGCAATRCAGGATATTAAATTCCACACCTTCTTCTCTTAAGGGTCTTTAGCCCCTCTCACCAACACAGATCATACAAAGTTCTGGGGAAATGGGACCACTTCCCTCAGGTCCAGTCCTTTCCACCACCTTCAGCTCCACACTCCAAGCCCCACAGTCTGTTTGAAGGTGGGCTAGAGAACCTCCCCATTGCCATCCAGAGACCAATGGCATTTAACAACCAGCTCATTCAGCCCAGAGCCTGTTCTCAAATTGCTCTCAGGAAAGCATTGCTGCTGGAAATAAAATTTTACACTAACCCATCCTGGCAGCACACACGGAAAGCCACTGGGCCAGGGGTTAAATGCTCCTGCTACAAGGCACAATCTCCCCACAGGTCACTGGTAAATACAGCAAAACACTCCTGTTTTTAACCCACTCACTCCTGCAGAACCACATATACATGAATTAAACCCTCATCTCTGTCAGATGCTGTGCTCAGCAGAATCTTCTCCCCACCTCTGCAGCAAAGCCACCAGTGCCTGCTGGGATCAAAATGTGAATTTATGGAGAGGTACCCAGAAGATTAAGGATGCTCTGACTCCCGCACTGGAGAGCAGCTCAAAAAGCTTTTGAGYCTTACAGCTCCCTGAGGCTTCCACCTTGTGCTGCCAGTGCAGATGACAGCCAGGTGATCTGCACATGGGCTCACTGAGACCTGAAAGCAAGGAACAGCTCCACTCTACCTGCCTTTCCCTACTATTTCCTATAGGAACTGTTTTTCTGAATCATCAATRTTGCCCCTCACTGTGCACATCTGGCAGTCTTTGTCACCACAACAAAGCCACTGATGCCACTGACCAAGTTGCCCCTGCTCTGGAGACCACCCAAATTCCTGTGTGGTGACACCAAATTGAAGCACCACCTGGGCTGGACCAAAGGACACCTGACCATGAGACCTGCAGCTCTCAAACATCTTCCTGAAATACCCCAGGTCAAAGCATTAGGAGGGTTTATGTGAGTGTCACCTTCTGATGAGGCAAGAGAAAGTCTCCAGGCACTGCATCACCACCTTGAGCTCTGCATGAGCAYCTTTGATCTCTCCTGCTGGCCAGGGCTGAATGATCCAAACCACRCTTCACAGAAGCATTGCTTTGCCCATCACAGACAAGTAAGGCTGGTAAATTAATCCACCCACATTCCATCCACTTGTCCCTGTGCACARAAGGGGTTTGACATCCGTCACTGTGCCCTTGCAGAAGCTTTACAGCTTCAGGAGAACTGACCCAGCACTTCCTCTGCTCAGCATTCCCAAAGGGCCTCCTCAAACATCCTGTTTCCTCACAGACAGCTGCGCTGCTCCTTTTAAAGCACTTCTCTAAAATCACAAATTTTTTACTGAAATGCAGTTCTCTACAACACCCTACAAGTCTTTCCCCAAACAACAGCTCCACTGTTGTCTGAATCATTGTRTTATCACCATGAAACCACTGATATTTCCCCAAACTAACCCGGGGCTYCTTTCCTGGGAGCAGCTCCTTTGCTTGCACAACTGACACCAGGAACACCTGGGACATGCCTCAGCACCCATCTTCAAGCAGCTAAATTTCAACATGACTTTTCAGAAGCTATGGTCAAAATCCATCCTAAAGAACCGATCCCAAGTACTTGGCAGTCTGTGCCAAAGCATGGAACTAACAGACCTCGAATTTCAGATTTAAATGTGCTATTAGATTTTCCCTTTGATAAATTCTGTTAGTCCTGCAAAATAAATACATCAGGCTGGAATCAATCTGTAGCCTCTGTAATTTTTTTCTCTTGCAGGTCACTGTACCTGAAGGTGCAGTCCAAGAAYGGCTTTAGGCTGCAGATAGGCTTTGGCATAATTTAAATCAAATTTAGTTTAACATCAAAACTCTCAAGTAGCTGTGACAAGTCACCAGACGGCATTTTCTAGCACAGCATCTGCTCTTTTCTCGGTGTTTGAATAATTTAACCAGGATATGGAGGTTCCAGCAGAACCAAGGAGCCYGTCTTTAAGAAGAAACAGGATATGTGAGTGCTTCCTGTTCAAAATTGCTATAAACCTTCTTGCTTCCTCCTCTCCTTCTCTTCATCTAGACCTATTGGGAACTGCACAGATTAATATGGAGGAAAATTACTTCTGTCTATTGACCTGTAAAATGACATTCAAGTGGCAATGACTCTTTGGCTGTGTCACTGAGATGTGAYAGAGGAGGAATCTGTGTTTGAGGTCTCACTTCAAGAAAGGAGAAGAGAGAAGAATGACACCCAGGAGCAGAGATAGGTGTAAGCTTTATAGGTATTCAGTTTTAGGTGTTCTAGAAGAGAAATTTAAACCAAACAGTTATTTCCCCTCATAAAACAGCACCAGCAGCAGCGATGCAGTGAGCACTAACCATAATTAGCTGATTCCTGGCCTGGGCTCTKTAACTTTAATTATTTCAGATCTGGCCGTCCACAAGAAGCATCCATGGAAACGGCRTCATTGTGAGGTTTTTCCAAGCCCTCATGTCTAGGAATTTTCAGATTTCCTGCTGTCCTTGTGCCCACCCCCATTGCTGAGGCCCGCAGGTGTCAGGATTCGAGCACAGAGGCAGCACAGGCTCCCATGCTGCACAAACCATCCTGGGGCCCATCCCATCCCTGTGGCTCCAAAGGAAGTGCAGGAGGATGGCCAGGGACAGMACAGCCTGTCACCACAGCCAGCCTTGCTCTGCTTGCTCCCACACGCTGTGCCAGCAGGCACCTGAATCCTGGGAACGGGGAGAACCATCCACAGCATCKTCCACAAGSAGMCAGAGGGAGCAGCAGCCCCAGATCYCYCASACCCATGGGCTGCTTTAGCACTACTCAGGATCCAGGCCATTGGTTCACCATCCTGCCTCCTCCTCTCCACAAAGGGCACCAAGATCTGCAAATACCACAACAGAYTCCAGGCATGGTTATACATCAGTACCTGTAACAGTCCTCACAGTCAGGCAAAGAGCTTGTGGGTTCAGCAGGAACCCACCTCAAAGAGAGCCCATGAATAAAGAGAAGAAACAATCTGGAAGTTAAAGTGTTTATTGATGTGTTTAAACTTTGTACATTCCCCACAGACCACACTAAGGAGTTTGCAGGTAAATCTGTGCATAGTGGGAAGAAACACGGAAAGGGGAAGAAAAAATAAAGTCACAGGAAAAATAGAAAAAATACACCACAGGTTACCAGAACCTCCAGATTTAAAAAAGCCGTGAGCATTAACACCAACTATACAAGCATTACAAAGACATGATGGTGAGTGGAACAATACCCCTTTTGGTCTTCTTGGGGCCTATGCATCCCATTTCCCTTAAAGCAGGCAGCATCCCTTGCCCAGCGTGTCACCCTCTTCCCTCCCCAGCTAATAAAAGAGCTTTGTTTGCCAATTCCCAAGGTCCTGGTTATTGCAGTGATTTGTCATTTCTGGCCTGACATCATCCAGGGAGATGCAAAGGCTCAAAAACCTGCGGCTCTTAACTACTTACCATGTTGGTGAGGCAGGACAGCTGGGGAAATTAGAAAGTAGTAGCAAGAGGGGGCTGTTAATGCCAGGTGAGTACTGAAGGAAACTGGCTGAGAACAGAGGATTTCAATTCAATACCAGAACTTCCAGCTCTAGAGCAGAACTAAATCTGGAAGGGGAATGTGCAGACCCCAGTATGCACAAACCATGTTCTAACATTCCACTAGAATAACTACAAACAGAGATGCTAGAAGCCTTTTAACTCCTTGCCTCCAGGGAGTCTTGATTCCTAGAGCCCAAGCTGCTAAGCAGCAGGGTGCACACCACTGGCATATGAGGATGGGGTTTTTTCTTTTTTTTTTTTCTCTTTTTCTTTTTTTTTGTTCTCCTCATTATAAGGAATTTTGTTAGTTACCATTCCCAATTGTTTCCTTGCTTATGCTGTAAGAGCTCCTACTCCTAAATTAATCTCTTTGCAACTCCCAGTGAAATTCACTTAAAAAAAARGRAAAAAAGAATACTGCTTTATATATAAAAGCCAAAATGTGAAGAGCCACAACTGTCTCCTTTTTCCAAGGTGGGCTGATACAAACGACCCTCAATATACAGGTGGTCTATCAGAAATAAAAATCAGCATTTCCCATTTTTATATATATAGAGCTTGTATCAGACAACAGTACAACAGAACTGGTATTTTTCAGATTATTAAAAAAAAAAAAGAAAACTACATCTCAGTCAAACATCTGCAATAGATCCATTTTTCCCATTTAAGGAGATTTATATATCATATTGTTATATTATCATTTCTTCACCCATTTAAAAGAATGGAAATTGCAACTCTACAGTAGTAATTATAGTCTTAATGATCCAGGAGTTCTGAATGTAAGATGAAGTCCTCTTGAAGCAACTGTTGGTCAGTAGTTGATCCAAACACTGGACCACTTTGGCCCTTCGCCCCGCAGCTTATCCCATCAGGGCTAGTCTATCTTCATCTCTTTTATATCTGCATCTGCTCCAGGTATTTGTAAGTGGGATTCTCATAGCCATGGTTTTGCATCTTGCTCAGATGCCGCTCCTCAGGGGTGAGCATYGGGTCAACCTTTGGAAAAAACACAATATTGATCATGGAGACACTACCAGGACTGATTCCACAGAACAAGAGGCAATAAACACTGAGTGAATACCAAGTGAACAGTAAACAGAGAAAAAAGGTAAACGGCAAAAGGTAATTCGTTTAATGGAGGTGCTTGTTCAGGTGCTGATGCCTCCTGCCCACTCAAACCCCTTTRGGGGTGTTCTCACAAACCTGTCATTGCTCAGTTAACAGTGTGAACCAGAGACTCACTTCTCTCATTRAAGAGGTTATGATCTCCTGCATGGGTGGGACGAAGGAAAAAGCAGCTTTCTCTGGGCTCCATTAAGTTATCATTAGATATGTGCAAGGAAGAAGGAGCCGCTCCTCAGCATTTGGCCAATCTCGACATCTTAATCATCAATTAGCTGGGAGGATAAATTGCTATGGATTGACTGACTGACTGCCCTGCTAAAAATATCACCTGTAAAGCTCATTTACKGCTAAATCCTACCCTGAGCCAGCCAGGGAAGCCTAATTGAATCCTAGTGATAAGCAAATGCAACTAAGGAGAGGCAGATGCCAGCATGGTACCCCCAGGGACTGGCACCTGCACACCAAGGAATGAGCAGTGACAGTGTCAGCAGGGACAGAGTTAATTCCTACCCAGCCAGAAGCAGAACTGTCCACGGCCTGGCAGTTTCTGCCATCCYCTACCCCCACACACGACATGTGATTCAACACTGCCTATTTTCATCCTTGGTTACGGAGCTGTTTCTCACCTCCACAATTCCATGGCTGATGGTCCCATACTGCCTCTTCCTCAGCATCACCAAGCTGATGACTATAACAGTAGCTATGGCAACAGCAATCACCAAYAGCCCAATAAGGGCACTGCTGCTGAAGCTGAAGTCATCACGGAGGGAGTTGTCATTATCCTGGAAGGAAGAAAACAAGGGAGCAGGCTGAGGAAGAGCAATGAGGGAGATGCACTGCTAAACACAAACCTAAACCATGGGCACTAGTAAGGTCTTCGACCATCTGTGATATCGAGATATGACTGATTATACRCTAGATAGTGTACGTATTTCACCCCTACGCCTTCCACCCCTAAATATTTCACCTCTAAATATTCCATCAAAATAATAACAAACACAAAATTCTTTCCCCACTTAGTACCTCTGGACAGGCACTGGACCACATCACTTCCCTATCCCACAAAACACTTCTGCAGTAGAGTCAGGTTAACATCCAGCGTATTCACTGTTTACATCTCATGCAGAAGGGTTGTATTGTGTTTCCCTCTGCATGAGTCCTAAGAGCAGCATCCAGGCACCAAACCCCAAATTCAATAAAAACAGGAATCAAAATCCAGCTTTGGGAATGTGCCAGTCCCTGGATTCAGCAGCCACAAACATACCGGCTCATCCACCAGCCCTCCGACACGCTCCGCATTGAAAATCATCTCCTTCACATCAAGGGTTTCATCAATTACCTAAAAACAGCCACAAAAGTGTTTTATGGAAGGATCCACACAAAACAGGGAGAAGAAAGAAGAGGAAGACAGACAAGAGACCTTCAATGAAAGGTCAAGACAGACCTTGTCAAGACAGGACAATGAAAGGAAAGACAGACAAGAGACCTTCACCAGCAAAAGCTCCAGGCCATTTACCATCTCCCCCCTGCTCTCAACAGCATGGAATGTTCACCAGCTCTTATACAGCCATCAGAGATAGTACTACACCTAGTTACCTCCACACTACCTCAAACTAAAGCCCCAGAAAACWAATCAATTAAAAAATAGGTCTTAACTTTGGACCCAGCATTTYGGTCACGTAAGATCTAACTTGTGGCTTTAAAACAGTATTGAAAGGAAACTCAAAAGCTGACTTTTTTTTAAAYCCATGGAACTGAGGCAAAGCAGCTGTCACTAGAACCAAGAGAATTCTTAACACTGTGGATAGAGACAATTCCTGCTGGATCGCTCCCCTTCAGAGGAAGGTGAGGCCTTTCCTGCCATGAAAAATAAGTGGGAGCACAGATGGAACACACAGCATTCAGTGTGTTCAGACAGTGAGCTACCTAGTGAAAATAAGGGGACATCAAAGAGTCTCTGCTTGGGAAAAGCATTCCTAAATCAGAGTTCTCAGACTGCCAAGATCTGAAGCTCTCTCCTTCCCTCCCCTCTAATGCTAATCAGTATTAGGAGCCTGCAACAGTCACCAAACCAACTCCCCCACACCATATGGATAATGAACACATTTTGTGAGCAGGAATTGCACATGGAAACAAGCCATTGCTATTAGTGTCCACGGCAGGTTTAGCTTCACAAAATAAAGGTGAAGAGCTCACCACATTTTCATCCACCTTGTTCTTGCTGTTAATCACTTTTTCTTCAGCACCAATCAGCCCGTCCAGCTCGGTCATGCCAGAACCTGCACCAAAAGAGCAAGGAGAGCCCATCAGCCCTGAGGAACATTTTGAAAGGATCACCTACTCTTTCTAGAGCTGCCATAGCTCGTGTGTTTAACTGCACAGACCACTGAGCATTAACCTGTCCTCATGCTGCTGTGTCAGAAGGGAGCTCACAAGCTATAGTGACAAGTGATTAGGAGAGCTGTTAATGAGGGGAAACAAGGTGGGAATGAGAGGAGCAGACAGAACTCATCACCAAAACCAGGCTGAGGTGTCGATCCAGACAAACTGCACTGTGAAGTGGTTCTGTTAGACAGCCCTAGACAAGGTGTAGTACACACTGAGTGCAGTGACATCTGCAGGTGTCACCTGGGGTCACCAACACCCTCCATGACCCCGGACAGAAGTGCACACACACCCCTCCACCAAGAGCCAGCACACAGGAAATGCTTYCAGCATCACCAATTCTGCTGGAATCAGGCAGATCAGCAAGCGCCTCGGGAATGAGAATTCCAAGGTCACCCAGCGTGGCTCTGTAATGAGCTGCTGTCCCATATCTGGCACAAGCCCAGAAATAATAAATCCCAGGGCAAGGGAGGAGCAGAGAACCGCACCAGCCTTTGTACCAGAACGTTACTACCCATTTCCAGCTGGAATCAGCCCCGACTCAAGAGAAGAATATCAATTATCAGAAGGCTCCAAATAACTGTTCTGATCCAAAGTGTTTATAAATAGATYAGATCATTAAGAGGAGAGTCTGATGCAAACTGCCCTGACCTGACATAGCACAGCATGTCAGGAGAACACCAGTGTTGCAGTGACGTAGGGACAACGGGATGACCCGTGACTCACTAGTGCAAAACCAGGACAGCAAAGCTCAAACCTGCARTGGGATCTTTCCAACAAAGTGGGGGAAATTCTACTACAGCACTTCAGGCTTTGCTGGTGACTGCAAACCATCCCCCTGCATAAACTGCTGAGCTTGCAAGGTGCCCAAGACATTATGCCAACTGCTGCTGGAATTGGCAGCATGTTCTTTGATGAGATGCAGGAAAAGGCTACTTGGCTCCAAAGCAAGTTTTAACAGTGACAGGCTTTTATTGCCTGAAAATGCCACGGAAATAACGTTTCACTATGAAGCATCTCAGGTTTTAGTGCATCACATTTTTCTTTGGAGGCAGTAATCAGATTCCAAGCACAGCCAAGATTGCCAGTCTGACTTCTCWCAACTGTCGAAGCAGGTCATGTTATTATGGAAGTCAAGGATTGGGATTTTCAGGAGAGACAAGCTACAAATAGTTTGTACAGAACTACTGTGYCTGCTTTTGGCCTAAGGTTGCTTTATTCCAGTCTCAGGAGCCAACCCAGCATAGTCTCCAGGGCTGAGAGCTCAGCTGCTGCACTGAGCTCTGCTAYTTGTCTCAGGGTGCTGTACCAAATAACAGTCCCAGTTCCATGGAGCTCAAAGGCACAGTTTAAATTATAATGCCTCCCAGGGGAAAAAAACTAAAACCACACACTGCACAAAATCCCATCCCCCCAATCTAAAACTTACTCAAAGCTCTCAAGCAATTCAATGAAAAGTGAAGGGAGAGAAGGAACAAGTGTAGGACAATCAYTGTCCACAGGTAATCAGAGTCTCTTACATTTACCCAGACAGGRAGAACTACCACAAATTAATCATCTTCAATTCAACAAAGCAGATGTCAAAATATTTAATAAATAAAAAAATAAAACTGTCCCAGTTCCTGCCAGAGCAATCAGCACACTGAATTAGCTGTACACTCTTCTRCAAGAGGGATGAAGGCGACTTACATTTGCAGAAAAATGCAGATAACGAGAATAGTTTCAAGCTATTTGGCCTTTACCATGTTACAAAACTACTTGTGCTCATAAGAAATGGTTATTAGCAAAAATCTTTTGCTCTCCTTTRAGGTCTACACAGTATATTTGGAACCAAAGCAGATTAAAACACTGGTTTTAAGTCCACACACTGCTCATGTAGCACTACCCTGCAAGAGCCTCCCATTTCTACTGATCTTTCCCTGATTCCATATCACTAACAGAGACATTATTTAATGCTAATATTTCTATGCTGCTCTTAAAGCCCCTTTTTAACCAGGCACTGGGCTACTGTAGAATTAATCCTGAGCTAAGGGAGAAATGGAAGACCACACACACTTTGCTGGAATGGAGAGATGCTACGTGTGGGAAGGTAATGCCAAGGAAATCACTAACACAGAGGAGGAATCTCCTGTTTTATCTGTCCCATACTGCACTCCATGAGGACATTTAGATGGGAAATAGCCTGTCCCCTGAAGAACACTCATTCTTAGTTTAGTGGTATCATGGGGCATCAAGGACAGGTGGCASAGGAGGCAGAAGAGCCTCTGGACTATTCCCCACCAGCACTGCAGGGTTTAATCTGAGAAGTGTGAGCCTAYCTGGGAAGAACACATACACAATTAGATGCTCAGACTAGCTGGCTTCTTTAACACTAGGCCTAAACAAGCAAAACTGAATGTTACTGATCTAAGTGAGAGCAGGGAAATTAAAATCAAGGTGAGTATGGAACTAAAATGAAGCTATCAAACACACTGAGGAGACAGAGTGACTGAAAGCACTGTGAGGGAGCAGCTTAGAACCAACCTTTTTTCATTGGATGGTACAAATCCGGCTGAGGATCTAGCAGGAGGGAAAACAAAAACAAAAATAGCAGAGAAAGGAGATTAAGAAAGAAAGGAAAAAAGCTCGTGCATGATTTCTGACTCAGACCCTGAGAAAAGCTTTTAGGCTACAGTTTTAAGCTCAGGACTCTGTTCAAGCATTTTTGAAATAAATACACACGCACACGCCAGCTGTCAACACCCAACAATACAAAAAAATAGAAATATGTACTATAAAAAAAAGGGAACTCCTGCAACCCTTCAGCAGGTCACAGCACAAAGCTTCTTAACATTACATGAGAGTGTTTTTGTTAAAGACTGAAAATTAATTCCAGAGTCAAGCCACACTGTAAAAACTTAACACTCACTGCAAAATGAAGAGAGAAAGGACCAATTTACAAAGAGAAGAAYCAGAAAATCAAGAAAGCAGCTCAGTGGACCTTACTCGCAGCACTGCTTCTCCAGTGAGTGAGGGGTGCTGGCAGGGTGACTGCTTTACTCTAAATAACCCAAAGAGATGGAAGTTTCTCTGTTCCAGCTGAGCCTACCAGCTAAGGAGAACCAGCAGTGAAGCCAATGTTTAATTCCACATACCTTCACTTTCAGGCACGGCTGGGAAGGTTTTCACCTGGAATGGGCGGAAAGGTTTGCCATCCAGTGGAATTTCTTCACTCTCCTCAGAGCTCACTCTGACATCCACCTGGGACTCAGAAATGGAGGATGTGAACTGATCCATGTCTGCACGTTGCTCCTGAAGCAGCTCATCTGAAAGGAATAAGAGGAATTATTAYACAAACTGCACGAAACCTGGCAGGGATCAAGAGGGCCAGATGGTTTGAACCAGGCTGAGGCAGGGCTGCAGGGGAACAATTCTCAGGGCTGCCAGATTACTTTTTCTTGCATATCTTATCTGGAATTCTTAGTAACCTTTACTGAGTTACTTAGAAATATATTCCAATAAGGGCCAAGAGGTTTGATGTGGCAAGAGGTTTTGGCAAGATGGGATTAAACCATAAAGGGAGAAAATATCTGGGGTTTTTTAATGGACCTTTTTCATCTCCCTTAGAAAGACAATTTTGCTATTCTGAACATTGTTGAATTTTTATTCAATGGACAGCAAAAATTCTTGGGAACAAGCTATTCTGACTGGCTGTTTTGTAGCATCCAGAGAGTATCTTCCCTGAAGTCCAAGCCCAAGTGCTTGTTGTCAAGGGCACCCCCTCTAAGGAGAGCAATCTTTTGGGAGCTCACTGGATAYAAAAACTTGGGAGTCTTAACACAACAGCTTAGGGGCTGGCACACACACTCACCAATCTCATCCTGGATTTCTTCAGCTACATATGGCACCTTGTAGAGCAGAGACAAGCTTTGATTCATCCGCTCYTCAATCACATGAAGATGTGTCATCACCTGCAGATGTACAAGAGTGTGTTGGAGTAGGCAAAGACTGTCAGTCATTTCAAAGTACCACTTCTTTCCTTGCTCAAAAAAAACCCATCTATTCCTGGTGCATCTGCCATGGCAGGCAACAGGGGACACAGATCCATCCAGTACAATTCTCTGACCAATGCTCTCACACTTCATTGGAACTGGCCGTATGTACATGGTGCTCTCAGGAGTCTGGGAAATGTTGGAGTGAGAGGATTCAACTGAATCTCACTGTAACCAGCTCTCCMCTGGAAACAACAAAATGCCATCAAAACTGCTATTTCCCATATGCCCAACAAAGTCATAATTCATCTGCTGCAGCAGCCACAAGTGCGTGCTTTATTAATGAATTATCATTCCTGACTGCTAGAAAAGATAGAGGCAAAAGGAGCAGATAGGGTATTTTACCAGCTCTAGTTTCAGAACAAAGGTGCCTTTCAAACCAACTGCAGCATTACATTTGTCCTACACCCACCCACTGGCAGCAGTGTTCTCCCTCCTTTGAGCAATACATTCAAGCTCTGGGCTCATTCAAGCTCAAATCACTCCTCCCAAGTGTATTATACCCAGCAATGAAGTCAGGCCTGACCTGAAGAGGGTGCTGCATCATCAGGGATCATGGAGAGCAAGGAAAACATTTGTATGGACGGTCAAACATTGCAAAAAGCTWAAGAGTCAGATGGACCTGTTTTACGGTCCAATGTGTGCCTGATCTTTAAGAGCAAGGATGAAAACAATTTAATTTTGCATGTGGCTGCTTGTCAATCAGGGGAATAGACTGAGGAGCCTAAAGTGCACCTGAAAAATAACAGGAATGGAAATTGAACTCTACCACCCACAACCTTCACATGTCGATTTGTTGACACTGCAGCCTTCAGAATGAATCAAGGGCTGTTTAGAGCTTAGCTTAGGAACACAGCTCCCTCCTGGGCTGGAGCAGCAGCAGAACAAAGCTTTGGGCCAGGCTGTGCCCAGCACATCTCTGAAAACATGACCATGAATTCCACGTGGAGAGTCAAGCACCATCATGACAACCACAGCTACCACCACACCTCCTGGGGATGTGCAGCTTAACAAGAATCCCACAGGCAGTGGGAGACAATCCAGGAGACACGAGAAAATGGCTCACTGCCAGCACCCAGAAACAAGGTGGAACCCATGGGATCTGCCACCTCCCAGTGTGAAGTTTGCTTCTGGAAAAACACCACTCTTCCCTTGACCAGAGGTGACAGCAACAGGCTCCAGTCCCTGTCCTACCCCTCACYCAAGATATTTCCACCTCCTGGCTATGCAGTTTTTTATGCATTTTTCCCTGAGTGCCTATTTTTTCCTTTTGGATGTGCTCCACAGCCCTGCCTCTATGAAGCTCTCCATTCTTTCTTCTTGCTTATCTTTTGTGCATTGCAGAATTCAAAGATACTCCAAAGCAGCATACCAGTCACAGACTGGGACTAGGAAAGCATTCCTTAAACTTCAACTGGACAGTGAGTTCTCTCTGAAACTGAGACAGGGCATACCCTTGTGTTTAGATCTTTCATTGTTAATGATGCCTTARGGACCCTGGAAATGAAACAACACACTTGCAAGATAATTTTAGTATAGGAGATAATATAAAAGCTGGTCTTTATTGGAGGCCTCCAATATGAAATGGAGGAGCAGATATGGAAAAATGTCCATAAAARCCCACCCCYCACAGGGTGAACAGAGTTTTTTTATAAGTGTGTCAAATTAGCATATTTGACAAGAATTCCCAATTAGAAGCACAGGTGATGAGGTGATTTCTCCCTTCTAGTTTAATCTTCTTCTGGAGCCCCTCCTTCGTACTAGCTGTACTTTGTTTACACAAATGTGTCTTGAAGAGCCTTGAATGTGYCTTTTTGGCCTTGGTAGCCAGGRAGTACCAAGAYAGAATTGGGGGCCCTGGAATGARTTTGGTCTTTCTGCCTRGGGAAGAGRAATGGAAAGCTACTGGAAAAACTACTGACAGAAGCTCCTAATAAAATGATAGGCTAAAAATGGATGTGTAAAGAATACAGAGAMTATATAAAAGGCAAAAATCAGTCTGGCAYTAACAGGCCATTCTTGATTYGAATTTTGATTCAGTTGCACCTTTCAGCACATCTTTCAGCATTTTAAAAGAGGTGAAAATGAGTATCAGGACATAATTCCAAAGATTTGCAGAGTATCTGCAAGTACTCTTAGAAGTACAATGGCCAGGTTTGAAGCAGCATATTCATATACACTGTGCAGCAGAAGGAAAAAGATCTTCTGGCTGTTCAGAAGTAATGGTACAACATCAACTCATCAAAACCAGATTTTCTGATAACAACTATGATCAAGTTTTTGGAAAGAGTTATGAATTATGCTTTGAAAACCAGGCAGTAASTCTGCAGAGGCACGAGAGAATTCCCACAAACCCCAAACACAGGCACTAAGAAGAACAGGCCTAAGGAAAGAAATATGTAGACACTTGGAGAAGTGAGGAAGTCTGTTCAGGATAACCAAGACCACAGCAAATAATTTCAGGGGTGCTTGATAAAACAAAYCACAGAACTGATTCTGATCTAGTTCTAAACTCCTCAACTTGTCACTGTGACAACAACAGACAAATCAGAGTTTCAGTTTCTAACACTGAGTCAGATACCACGGAAAAGCATGCAGGGAGTGTATCTGGTGACAGGAAATAAGCACAGGAAAGAGGGAGAGCTCAACACGGATGAAGCTGCTGCAGTGCCCAGCAACACACAGCTTCCCGAGCCTCCAACAGCCAGGGCTGGGCAACAGAGTTCCTTTGACAGAAAGCCCCTCCCACCTGGGATTTCATCTGAGCAGCCTTCTCGGGATCCACTGCCAGGACGTGCTGGTAGTGGCGGATGGTGTGCAGCCGGTCCTTGTTCTCGGCACGGACGTAGCGCTTCAGRGCCTGCAGGATGCGGTGGGGCTGCAGGATGGGAGCAGGAACAGGTCAAACACTGGAGTCAACCCAAACCCACAGCTGAAAACAGCACCTCAGGTGGGAGGCTACTTTGGTGCTGAACAGATCTGTCACGTGCACAGATTTTATTTTATTTTTTTTTWAATTAAGCCTGTTTGACTCAGAACATTACACCTTAAGAACGGTGCGTTATGGATACCAAACAAAGCAGAGGGYTTTCTCCCCAGGCAGGAAGGAGAGTGAGACAATTACAGACCCACTGCTAAATCTGCAGCACCAACTTCCACAATGCAGAAGCTTTCCTAGGAACTAACTCCCAGTTTCTGCAAGTCACAGGCAATTTTCTCACCAAGACATTTCCACCTTCCACCCTACTCAGTGCTATCCTACTGGAAAAACACRTTGGGAAGGAACTCACACGTGGTGGGTCAGCCTGCAGGGCAGCCAGGTAGTTCTCCAGGGCAATGCGACGCCGATCGTTCAGCATGGCTTCCACACGAGCCAGGTGAGTCTCCACCAGCTGCTGCTTCTCACTTGCTGCTTCTTTCTCCAGAGATTTCACCATAGCCTGGAAGTGCTGGAACAAAGTAATCTGTTGAAATGCACTGTGTGATCATTAATGCCTGTAACCCCTTAGAACTAACAAAGGCTGTCAAACTCCATGTCTCCTAACATTTACAGTTAGGAGAGAAAGGCATGGAGAAACACTGATGGAGATTTCATCTCTGCAAATTCCGTAGTAACAATCTGCCTTCCAAACTTCCCTCAGAAGCCRTTTCAAAGGTCTGAAGAGGAAAAATGACCTTGCACATAATTAACTCTGTTCCTTGACACTGCAGGATGAAAATAGGATTGATCCCTTCAGCCTGAAGCCATTAATTTGAATTTCAGACGTTTACAAAGGTATTGTATAAGGAATTTTCCATCAGTATGCCTTCAGATCAAATTCGTGTTCTTTTAGAAAGGTCATAACCTTCATCTCCAAACCAYGTCCACTAAGTGTTGTGTTTCAACAGAGATAATGACAAATTCTTGGATTTGCACATAGTTCGAAACATTGACTCGTTATTAAAAAATGCAGAGAAAACTGTGCCCAGGATAAAATCCAAAATGGGCTTAAAAGCTGGAGTCASTCACTTAGTTGTATATTGGTTTGAGAGAAATTCATGGAGTTGTCACTGCCTGAAGAGCCTTCCCCTAACGATCCCACACTGTGAATATCCCTGATTAACTTCAGTCCAACTGAACTCTCCTCACAAGGCACAAGATTGGCATTTTGGCAGCAAACCAGTTTTATCTGCTGTCTAAGCAGTTTTCACTATGTCTGCCCAAGCAGGAAATGTGTGTCCAGAGAGCCAGGGCTGACTCTGAACCAAGCTCTGAGGGCAGTGGCTASTGCAAGACAGGCCAAAGGTCTGAAATTACAATTTGGCTCTGCAGTCGCTACGCTTGAGAGGCAAGATCACTTTCTACTAGGTGTGTCTAGGAAAGGGCCTGACACAGTATCCAATCATCTCCAGTTTTAAGAACAAAACAATTGAATCAAACCTCCTCTAAAACGCAGCTGTTGACAGAGCAGAAAGGCTGCTCCTACATCTAAGTTGTTTTTTGGCTCTGAATATTGCAAGCTCTCTCAGTAACTTTCATCTTTAGGTCCTCCCACTCTTACCTGGATCAGAGTCTGCCTTTCTGCCTTGGGGAGATTTACAGCCTGGTGCTCAGCTTCCTCCCATTCCTTTTTCACCTGGACAGGAAAAGGAGAACACATGAACAAGACACAAATTTAAATCTGATCTTTGTGAGCTGATTTGCCTTCACAGGCAGATCCTAGCACAGCCTGGCTGGGTTATGAAGGCACAAAAGAGCTATTGTGCAGTTTAAACCTAGCACTTAATCCCTCTGAGCAACAAGCCAAGCTTCACAAAATCCCAGAAGGGTTTGGGCYGGAAGGGACCTTAAAGCTCATCTTGTTCCACGCCCTGTCACAAGCAGGGACACCTTCTTCTAGACCAGATGGATCCACACCCTGTCTAACCTGGCCTTAAACACTTTCASGTATGAGGAATCCACARCCTCTSTGGGCAGCCTGTGCCAGGGCTTCAGCACCCAATGAGTAAAGAACTCCTTCCCAGCATCTAATCTAATTCCTCTCTCCCAACACTGGAGAAATAAAAATCTAACTGCTGTGGTGTGATCATACTGAAAGAAACACATGAAGCCTGGAAACTGGAAAGCCAGTCACTTCACCACCAACTTTCCAGTAAAACAGGGGCAGCAACCCTACACATGAATGAAGCCTGAAGGCTGACACTCACCCGGTCCATGCGGTTGTGGTGCCTGACCTCCAGCTGCTCCTTGGCCTTCTGGAAGCGGGCATGCTCATTGTCATCAGCAGGGGTTTCAAAGTAGACATCCACATCATCAGTTGGCACTGCACGAAGAGGGAAGGGTAAGCAGAGCATYGGAAACCCACTATTCTGGTTTGCASAGGGTAGGGAGAGAAATCTCCATGTCTGTCTAATTAATAGTCTGCCTAATTAACAGGCTCAAGCTGAGCCTACTGAACAGTCATCTTCTAGAGTCCATTTTGGAATCTTTACAGCACCAATCCTCTGTCCAACATCAGCTCCATCAGCCCAAAAGGCTGCRATGACCACAGCTCCCAGCACTGTCTGGCCTGCTCAGTGCAGAGGTGAGCAGCACTCAGCTCCAGAAACAGTGTCTGGCATGGCAGGATAAAGAACTCCTTTTCCATTCCCTTTCACATTGGCTTTGGATGGTCTAAGTGCTATTCTGTGCATTACCTGTTCACTGACAAGCTGGCTCCAGACATCATTAATATGATTAGGGAGCTTGACAATTAATCTCCACAWAACCAATATTTTATACTTCAAACCTACCTTCCCTACCAGATACACCATGCAGGACTTACAGGCAATGGTATTAGACAAGACAGTAACAGAAAGAAGCTCAGTGCAACGAAGTGACTTGTCCAATACACTGGATGGTTTGTAACTTCAAGACATCCAGATTTGACAAGGGGAGAAACAAAATTTCAGAACTGATAAACTTCAAGCATCTGCAGAATCYACATCAGGGGCTCTGTATTCCATATACTCAGGTCAGGAAGTGCTGAACATGCTCCTGTGCTACAGTTTTATGAACTACACATCCCAGAACSTTTCTGAAAGATCTGTGGCAAACGTGATGCACTCTGTCATTGCCCTTTGCCTGAGGGAGGGCACAAAGGGACATGTAAGKCAACCTCTCATCCATATTAGGTATTTGGGTGGAAAAACCCTCCAACACATCATTAAGGACAGCATGCTTCAGAAAYAAATTACCTGGCACTTCAGCATGAACACAGGGTAAGAGTTTAGCATGCACTGCATCCACCACCCTTCCCTCTAACTAGGGGGAAATAATGACAACATACAACACAGGCACTATTGTTGCATGCAAGGTACAATGTCACATCASGTCCATATTCTGGGCCTGCTTCTGGCATTTCTGAACCAGGCTTGGACAGAGAGAACTCTCTTCCCAGTCCCAAATCCTTCTGTAACGAGACAAACCTTAGTACAAAAAGCTCCTGACATCCGCATCTTTTCTTTCACCACCTCAGTCAGATCACCCCAATCTAAAGCACTTGCATGAAGCACATTTTGTAAACAGGATTATGGCTGTATAGTCAGGCTGCCAAGCCCCAGATAACACAAAAAGCCTTTCAAAAGGCTTTAATGGTAGCTGAAGTGGAAGTGCTGGAGTTCAACAATAAGATTAATAAGGAGGTTAAAATGGTTTTGGTAGTTTTATCATCTGACATAAAAGCCAGTTGAAATTGGTGCCAAAAATCTTAAGCACTCAAAAACACAGGGAATGAGCTGTGATTTGTATTTCATAGCAAGCTGAAAATGAGAATCTAAATTCKATACTATTGTCTGATATTTTCCAAAATCAAAATAGCAGGAAAATGCCTACTACCAGGAGAACACCAGCCTGCTTTTCAGGACCTACTGTCAAACATATGCTTGGTAACATGYGGGGGAAAGCAAGGGCTTCCTTACATATATTTTGATTAAAAAGCCAGTTTGGCAAGARGTCAGACAGCTTCTGGTCCCTGCCATAGATCTGGAAGAGGACAGCTGAGCCCTCAGCAAGAGCTGCTAGTCACCAGAGAGCACAGATAGCATATTGTGAGAGCCACTTTCCTCAGCAACAATCACCTTACAGACCTAGGGAAGCRGAGACAGGAGGAGACTGCTGCAAAGGGACAGACACCAGAACCAAAGGGATAAGCTACAGACGGGTCCTCATTGCCCAAGGCAAGGAGGAGGAGACACCACACGCCAGACAGACAGTGGCCAGCTGCAAAAGCCAACGGGAGGCAGGACTTACTCATCTTTTTACACACAGCCATACAATACTCCTCTGACTCAAAATTGTTCCTGTTGCCTCCGCAGCCTCCATATATAAAGCGAATGCATTTTCTCTTGTTAGGATCGAAGTACCAACGAGGCATCACAGCCCGGCAGGGCCCTGTCATGGCCTCCTGGGAGCAGACAGCTGTGTGGAGACGGTGAGAACATGAGCTGGTGAGGAGCACATGGCTTGCTGAGAGACTTACATGATGCAGAGGTGATTTTGTTTCACCCCTTTCTCTGAGGCACCGGCCTCAGCATCACTGCTGCACTGACCCAAGGGCTTCTGTCAGTTTTGGGGGGTTGAACACTCCAAAGCATCCATCACAAGCTSTTCAAGGAGATGCCTGTATGTGGTGCTCTGTCTCTACATGGAGCTCTCATCTGTGAGAGATTTCTCCAGAGCCAGGGACTGGGACAACATGAATCTGTTCTGCTGATGCCATACTATKATGCCCCAGATGCCCCAGTGGGAGAGTCTCCACACTATAAAACCAACAGCATGGAAAGCCAGTCCATTAGGCCTGCTTAAAGCATCCATGGATGTCCTGTTCACTGCACTCCGCCTGGACAGATACTCCACATCTTACAGGGGAGGGAATAAGTGAAAAAAGCAAGCTAACAAGGGCAGTGATCTCCATGACAGCCTCAGACACTAAGATTTTAAGGTCTGAAACATCTATCCACCAAATATCAAAACTCCGTGCAGCCATGGCACAGGGAACACTTGACTGTGAGCCAGCAACAGCAGCTGAGCTGTTTTGAGGCAAGACAGAAGATACAGTATGTAAGTTAGCAACTGTTCCTTCAGGCAAAAAAGACTGTGTACCCTCAAAACAGACACCCCAATCATATTGCTTCCAGCCTCTTACAACACCTACACATCTGTAACAGCCCTCTACATGCATGAGTGAAGCCTCTTTTCAGCAAGGAAAATTATCTGCAGCATGCTGGCATTTTACCAAAAAGATGCGAGAACTGCTGGCAATGATTCAGCAATCTGTAGTTAATTGAATTTCATTCCCTCTCGGCTCCTCCCTCCACTGCAGACACCTCTACATACAAAGTGTAAGATATCACATAATTCTGAGGCACGACACCATCAGCTCCCTGTGAGGGCACCTACCACTCAACAAAAGCTGCCACCAGCACAGTACATTCTACTACTGCAGAAAGTGCATCTTAACATATAATAAAGTCGGGCCAGTTGTGCTGGCTGACTTTCTTTTGCAGAAGTATTTATGCAAAGGCAGCACCAAGGATGTTCCTCACCATTAAATGACCAGATAGCACTTCTGCAGAGTATGGTCCACCACCCTTATCTTCCTCATTTTAAACTGGTATAAACCACCAGGTTTTAAATTCACAGTGTACCTCAAATTTCCCTTTCAGATTTTCCAAAATTTGCAGATTTTCTGACTCATCACTGCACCTTCATGGAGGTACTTGTTCAACGTGCCAAGCACGCTGGCCTCCTGCCAGCAGARCTGCTGTTTATCTGCAAACATATGGCCCATACTCTAGAGAGGTAATTTCAACACTTGAAACGTAAGTATCATCAGCYTTCCTCTGTTTGCTAACTTATATGGCAAATAAAACTTTCAAGTGGCATTTATTGTCTTGATCAAAACCCCAYCACTAACTAACAGCAAACAGGAATGATCTCAAGGGAGCAGGAGGCCTGTGGACTGCAATTGTGTCTTACATTTCATGTCGCTGCTCACTTCTTTTTCAGCCACAGCCTTGTCGCTGCTGGGCTCAGTGGGGGTCTCTTCATTRTAGTCATCAACTTTGTAGCTGTCATAGTAGTAATCACGGTCTTCCACCACGTCCTCCTCCTCTTCCCCTTCATCATCCTCATCCTCATCTTCTTCCACAGCTGTTCCTGTGAAGTCTTCTACACCTGCCTCTGTAGGGAACTCACTGGAGGAATGTGGATAAGTTAGGGGGTAAATTTAGGGCTAATCACTTGGATGTATGACAACAGAATAATGATTCTCTTTCCATCTGCTCTAGAAACACCTGAAATGGGCAAAATAAGTGTACCAACAATTCATTAGCCCATCACCCACAGCAGGGGACACCCCTCATTACAAACACTACTGCTGCTGCAGGCAAAGCTTCTCCACAGCTCTGCCTTCATGTGGCCTCTTTCTATTTTTTCAGAAAGTGGAAGTCTACCCTTGGGGCAGGTTCCTAATGTAGAATTCCAGAAAGGTCTGGGTTGGAAGGAACCTTAAAGCCCATCTTGTGCCACCCCCTGCCAAGGGCAGGGACACCTTCCACTATCCCAGGGTGTTCCAAGTTTTGTCCAACCTGGCATTGGACACTTTCAGGGATGGGGCAGCCACAGCTTCTCTGGGCAGCCTGTGCCAGGGCCTCACCATCCTCACAGCAAAGAATTCTTTCCCAAAATCCATCTAATGCTGCCCTCTGGCAGGGTGAAGCCATTCCCTCTTGTCCTGTCACTGCAGGCCCTTGTCCAAAGACCCTCTCTTAGCTCTCTTGGAGCCCATTTAGGCATTGGAGGGGCTCTAAGGACTCCCAGCCTTCTATTCTGCAGGCTGAATGACACCAACTCTCTGCAAGGATGAAGGGAGAAGGGGTCTTTAGTTCCCTAAAAGGGGCACTGCAAAGCCATTTGTCCTCCACAGGCTCAACTTCAGGAAACTCAGAAGCACAGAAATTTGCTCAATTCTCACCACAAGGGAACTGCTGTGCAAAATATTCGAAGCAGCAGCTTCATATACAAAGCTGTCAACATCAACACACCAGKAAGAACTCTACCTCTTGTAAAGGTCATARTCTTCATCRTCGTCCTCATCCTCTTCCTCTTTGGACAGAGCCTCATCCACAACCTTAGTCTGAGGACAGCACACATATTCTGTTCCRTGGAACTGGTCCACTCCACAGGGCAGCAGCATSCCATAGCTGTGCAGGATCATCCCTTCTGTCAGACAGGCCTGAAAGTGGAGCMCATTCATAGCATTTTAGCATCGTGCTCTTCCTTTGGATAAAGCTCAAGTTTGTCTATCAGAGATCCCAAGAACTGTTTAAATTTTATGGCACAAACAACAGCCACATATGACCAAAACCTGAACATCAAAGGAAAGTGGATTTGAAACTTGTAGTGTAAAAGAAAATCCCCAGAAAATTCCCAGATTCAGAACTACCCAGTACTTCCTGGTGTTAACCTTTCACACCCCAGCCCCAACAACTGCTGGTTTTTCTGCTGGGCAAAGCTCAGGGAAAAAAACCCAAACATTTTGTGCCAGCTCAAGGGAGAACACTTGAAAGAACCACAAAGGGTGTTTGCTTTTCTGGGCTGGCCATTTCAATAAACTCTATCTATTAAACTTTACATTGGAGCAAGTGAATAATTGCTCAAATGGTCTTTGTGTCAAGATTATTTTAACCATGCTGTAGATGAAAATCAATYAGATAATTCAAGAAAAAGCCAGACATTATGTCTATACATTTGTCTTAAGCTAAGGAAATACTTGGCTCTGAGGTGCCCAGAAATTAATGAAGAAAAGCTTTATTATGCCCTTTTGTGCTTTGCTTTGTTACAACACAGATTTTAAATGAGCCAAAYAGTGCTGGAAAACTTGTGTTGCTGTTGTGTTGTTGTTTCTACAATCACTGTAGATGTTTCTACAATTGTTGCTTCCACAAAATGGAAAACATGCACATTTTGTCATTATCTTGTTTTTATTAACATGCACGTTTTGTCACATGCATTTTATTAACATGCATGATCTGCTTCAAATGGGAGTGCAGAGCTTTTGCAACAGTTTAGCTAGTCAGATAAAAAAAAACACAACCCCTCCCCCCTCTCCMAAACCATGGGCTAGATTTATTCTGAGAATATAATCCATCTCTTATGTAAAACCTCCACTAATCAGTCCCAACGAAATTCAGATTGCTCCCAGGCAAGCCCTCCCAACCAAATCCCCAGCAGCAGCAGGTACAYTAAAGCAAAATGCGCAAGAAAAATAGGAACTATCCTGCACCCCTGTATCTCCCTGGAAAGAGAACAGAAAGAGGGATGAACCATTGGTTAAAGCAGTATCCCAGAGAACTGATTTCTATTCCTAGCTCTATGAYATGGATAAGCTCTTCATGAAGAGGACAGCTTTTCGTGAAGAATAACCCAACTGGCTACACAGGTTTTTTAAGTCACTTGAGTAYTTCTGTATTTTTGCTTCCTTGATGTCTGTCTCAGTTCATTGACTGGAGCATGGGAATAGCAACCCAGAGACTGCTGTGATCCAATACTACAAGCATCCAAGCAGACAGATGCAGAACAAGCATTCTTGTCCCAGCAGCTGCATTACCTCCTTTGCCACAGTGTGCCAGTGCTGGTGGCTTTCACACACATCCATGCGCTCCTTGTGGAAGAACCGGCACTTCTCAGGAACCAGCAGGACATCGCTTACAAACTCACCCACTGAAAAACACAATGACCACAGCTCACACTTGTCCAGCTTCCAAAAGCAAATAGAGCCTCCACCAAAACTCCCCCAAAGTGCACTCTGTGCATGTGCCTTGAGGGTTTGATATATTCTTAAAGGGGACAACCCACAGCAGCTTTGAAAATTATCTCCAAGAAGCTAAAAAAAAAACCCCAAGTCTCAGAGATTCCAAGGTAAAATCAGAAGCACAGGGTGATCCTCCTGACCCCTAAAGCTGAACTGAGRGCAGAGTTTAGAGTGCAAGTTAATCAATAGTTGTTCTTCCATGAAAGAATTGACTGAAGAGAYGTCGCTCAAATCTTTGARAAGATTGTGTTTGCACTCAGATGTYTCAAMCCACTTAATCACCTATTTCCAAATGAGCTGCATCATCCCAAAATTCCTTCATGCTGTCTGCTGCTGCAACAGCCTGGAAATTTTTATATGCTGTGAGTGTTATCTATATTTTCAGTATCTGAGCAAGTCTTGTTTGGTTTTGTTTTGTTTCCAGATGGTTTAACTCAAGATCAACCACAGCACATGCACTGCCCTAATCAAAACACAGAGGGCTGGAAAATAAAAACTATACAGTTTAAGTATCAGAGTACAATCAGAGTCAGCAAACACACTGTATTCCAGTATCTAGATAACCACAACCTCACCAGCATGAGGAAGCTTAGCACTATCTTTGTGCCAAACCCAGACTTTTTTAAATTTCCACCATCATCCAGTTTGGTACCAAGACATGTGAAATAAGGATCAAAACTAAATGAGCATCACTTCCCGTTCTTAGCCCAGAAGTCCTGGTAAACACTGCCACTGGAATCCCAACATGAGGTTTTCTCCAAGCAGAGGTTTTTTTTTTTTTTTCTTTCTTGCATATACAAATGCTGCATTCAATAATTTTAAAATAAGGAGATAGCTAGATACTTTGAGAAGACCAGGAAAAGATCTTCAGCCMAAGTGTTTCAAAGCAGCATTTCCTGCACACTTGACCAGAAGCTTCAATAATCATTTGTTAAAACTGGAGAAAAGCTTTTGAGTCAAAGATTTTTGTCACAGTCTCCACAAAGCAGAATTCTTTGTCCAACCAATCTTTCACACCATCTTTTCAAAATATATCTTAAATATTGTTTGCCAATAACAATATTTACACCAATGCCAATAACAACCARTTTTTTTGCAGCTCCTTAGTGTTAATACTAAAAGCTCATGGATACTCCTACACTTCTCTACTGTAGAGAAACCGAATAGTTTAGTTAGATTACTTGATAATTGAAGATAATGAAATCAAATTACCTTCATCATCTCGTTGCAGTTACATTTTAAACTAACAAAGAGGTTGTATTTTCCCCATTTCCTTATTTCAAAACAGGCCAGTTACAAGTTTGAGTTAATAATCTTTCATCCTATTCTATAGGGAAAGGTTTAAGTGCTTCTGATAAGAAAAGCAAAACTGAAAAAACTTTAAAACTGTGGTTCTGAGGGCCGAAGGCAGAAGATTCATGGGTTCTTATCTTCACCTTTGAAATAGAAAGGAGCTTCCCTTGGCAGGGGGGCGGGCAGAGAAGATTAAACAGGGTGTGGTGATAGGATCCTACCTCAAGGTACTCTGTGCATGAATGTATTAAGGAAAACACAACCAAGAATAGAAACAAAATCYCTCAATTTGACTATAATCCAGAGAAACACATCATCCATTTACAACAAGCAATTTATGAAGTGCTAAAGAGATTTTATAGATATATAGGTTCCAGACTTGCAACTCAGACCTGMAAACCAAAGCTGCCTCACAGGCTGGGGCCTGCGAGTCATGAACACTGTGAAATATACTCATTAAAAACCTGAATAAACAGTTTAATGCTTATAAAATTATAGGACAGTCAGTAAAATCAGCTTATTTTTCAGCTGGAGAATAGGGTTGGAGAAGGATTATTTCTAGAAGAGATGACTCCTTATAAATCCAGGGATCTTGCTTTCATGCTTACTTCCATCAGAAGTTGTCCTATTGATCAGTCGGTCTTGGTTGCTTCCCAAACCTGAATTTCCACATCTATAAAGACAAGCACCTTTCTCCCAGCATGCGTCCACAATAAATTTTATGATTGTCTTTAYGATTGTCTAGTGAAAGGCATTACATAAAGAACCCACATGGTTCTGCTGCTTTGCTGGTGTTCTTCCCTGTCAAGTCACACATCAACCTGAGATACGGACATAAATTACGAAAATTGGTTCCTACTGAATGCTCCCAGCAMTCACACTCTCCCAAGACTTCTTACAAGTATTTTCCAATGGATAACTGAAAGACAGCCAGCTGAGACTGACTTTACTCCTAAGAACACACATGGAGCAATGCAGTATCAGTCACAATCCACAGGTCAGGAGTCACAAGTTAACCAGTTAAATACGCTGCCTGATTCCAGTGTGTGGGGACATTCTGGAAAGCACCATGRAATCCATCACAGTTTATCTCATTCTTTCACAGTTCAAAATGGGGACATGGGATACAGCTGCAAGAAGCAGGGCCTCTTTGAAACAGCAAAGTTTAAATATAGTCACTGAAATAGAATAGAGATCTCTTGCCAAGACCAAGCAGGAAGCCTGAGCACATTGAGCATTTAAGTCTCCAAGGCAACAAAATATTAAAGTTTCACAAAAATAGGATCAAAGTATGAAATCCCAATGTCTTTGTGATACTCAGATACAATAGCCTTCAGGTTTTTATGGCAATTGCAGAGAGAATGGGTATTTGTTTTTCACGCCAGGCACCATTATTCCACCACAGCTGTTACCAAGCTGTCGATCTGCTCCAGAAAAGCAGAGTTCCATCTTGTGGAAAGAAAAACATTTCAGTGCAAGTTGAATGTGGAAATGACAATCTTATACAAGAGAAGTCTTACAAACTTGGAGTTGTTCTCTCTGTAAGAATGTGGGAGGGAATTCCTTGCCTTTTCCACATGAATGCACAGTACAGCCAGTAAACACTCACCCAGGCACTTGTAGGGCACGACGATGTGAGGGTGGTCCTTGCACAGCTTCTTGCCACGCTTGCACCAGCTATCAATGSTGACAGGCTGGTTGGCTTCCACCACATTGGTGATCTGAAGGTCTGGGTACATCTGGGGAACAGCACACACATAGAGGTTCATCTCCAGAACTGACAGAGAATGTGCAGAGTGGCTCCTACCAGAGTAGTGAGTCTAACTATCTATACAGGAACAAGTTGGAATTTGYACATGGACTCACACGCTCCTCTCGATCAAGCTTAGGGCAGCTGGAGACATAAAAAAGCTACAACTGTCTGTCACACAAGGCTTCASAAATGGATATACCACTGCTTTGAGGCAGGAGAAAGCCAGGTCAGGGCAAGAGTCCTCACTGACACTGAGCTGAAAGGTCTGGATTTGCACAGCAATAGAAGAGGAGCATTTGGGTATTACAGTTTGGAGGAGATGTAGYTGTTTRATTCTTTYTGAAGCAGCAATCACCAACAAATAKGGTTTAGTAACATCTTCAGACTCTCTCATCACTTGTCAAGCTATGTACCCACCTCCTCAGGTCTCCTGATGCCTGGTCCATTTATGATGTATTAATTTGATCCTTATGCCCTGCCCAGTCCAGACACTGACTTATATTTAGGCTTCTACTATGTGAATTAAACACAGCCCCAGTTACATTAGCCTCGTAAAACAGTTTAAAAAGTTTTCCACTGCAGGCATGGTACATTCTGTTGCTCTCCCATAAAAAAAAAAAAAAACTACGTTCTGTGTGGTATTTTACAGGCTTGTCACCTCAGAGGAGCAATTAAATACACTGGACAAGGCAAATATGTCACACTATATCTGGAACACATTGGAAGAAGATTACATCTTTTGCAAGAAAGTATAAAGAGCTTAAAAACACTGTCAAAATTTCAATACATTATTTTTCTAATATTCTGGCTGATCTAAACATATCACTGAGAACAGCACAGYCACATTCTAATTAGAATAGGTGTTAGATTCTATTTTACACAACAGGGAGCAGATGCTGGTTAACCAGCTCAGAGGCAAAACATYTGGGTTAAGCTCTGCAATCACAGAYGAAGATACCTCTGACTTACAGACCAAGGACCTTCTGTGGCAGAGTGAGCTGATCTGAGGTAGCTTCTAAATCCCAGTGGAGTGCCCTCCCTGCTCTTCCTGGGCAATAACTCAGTGCAAGGAATTGGACTAGGCAAAAGCAAGCTCATCTCCCACAAGGTTAATTTGAGCAGCTAAATCAGAATCCAATTCCTTCACGGCAGTAGAGAGTCACGATTACACAGAAAATCTCACCTCCTGGCARTATTGCAGAATCTCCTCCTTTCTTCCAAAGCAGCTCTTAGTCCCGGAAGGATCAGGTTCCCATTTCCCTGTCTGGATGTTCACATGCATATTTAGCTTCCCACAGAACATGGCAATCTGAGGCTCTGCCACCGCAAATCCTGTCCCAGCACTGGCTGCCAGGGCCTGTGAAGACAAACCAAACCAAAACACCTTGATTGCATTATCTGATCAAGAACTCAACAACTTAAAAGAACCAGAAACTCTCTGGCATCTTCTCAGACAGCTAGCTCCTGCTTGACTCAGAATATCAGTGGAGTCTTGCAAATTATTTTGTAACAACATTCCTTGAGATGCTGAGCCCACCCCAAGTTTTCACCAGCAAGGCATTTGTTTTCCCAAACTCTGTTTATATAATTGAAACAACATCTTACCAAAACCAAGAGAAATTCCCACTTAAAGGCTGAACCTATATGGGCTAAAACAGATGCCTGAAAAACTTACTAAGTAAGTAAAACTAGTAACTTCTGGCAGAAGGACCTCTGTKAGATTACACACAAGCAGATACTACTACTAATAATAAAAATAACTGCATCCCACTGTAAGAACCCTGCTCAGAGTTTAAAGCGATGTGTTTATCCCAATACTTGAAATAGAAATTAGAAAGGTTTTTGCTCAAACATACAAATAAAGATGATTTTTGCTGAATCAGAAAAAACAGCTATGGCAACCAGCTCTTCAAAGCCTGTTGTGTCCCATTAGGTGCACTCCTATGGGGAGCTATTTCAGATGTGTATTCTGTGCACTTCCCAGACTGCACCAGCAGAAAAAACCTGACAGCCCAGGCCCACATTTGGGGTAAGCTGCAGACTGATCAATGAAAATAAGGTCAGGGCCCTTTTCTCTAGTCGTGCTGGCTGATTGAAACGAAAAAGAGGAGTAAATTGCAGATTTTTTTTTTTTCCTGAGAAGACCAAGTGGGTGCTGGGAGCTGAACAAGCTCTTCCTAAATAACTACTAGCTGCTGTAAAAGAGAAAGAGGCATGCATGAGGCAAAAAAACAGATGAACTCCTAAATCAAAAGCTCTTTAAGGTGTTCAGGGGAATGAAATTCATTTCMACTACTCCGGATAGAAACAGCAATGCACAGAGTCTGCTGGCCTAAGATGCTTTTCCACTGGCAGGCAACACAACCCCAGGCACCCAGCCCTACCTTCATATTTAACTTTCTGCACACTGAAAAATGCATAAATTATTGTGGACACTGCTCATTCCCTACTGCCAGCAGACCACTATCAACTCACATCAACACATATGCAAATATTTGTATGCTTAAAGCAAATAAAGGAGTAGAATTCAACTGGACAACTTCTTTGTGCAGCTCCTAGTTACTGGATATTAGGAAAAAGAAAAACTCTAGTATAGTTAGCTCATTTCTCCCCCTCCCCTTATCTCACTGCCTGAAGATAAAGACATTTTAACACTCAGAAAGTCAAGGATTGTTTAGTGCTGAACACAAGRTTAATGCTTGGGGGAGAAAACCAACCAGAGGCACAAAAGCAGAAATTCAAGTATTAACTGCAGAAAAATGCAAAAYTGAGTTTTAAGTACTATTCACCTGTGCATCACTTAAGAGAAACAGGCTTATACAAGTGGTTTCAGTTTACTCTGACCATTCCAACAAACAGATGCTCATGACAGCATGTTTTAGCACAGACKACAAAGTAATGAAATACCAAACTACATGTAAGAGATAACAGCATCAATGTCCCAGTATCAAAATGCTGACAATTCACATACATTTTCAAGTTTAATGTGAGTACATTTGTTGTACTCTCTGTCCTGAGGAAAAAGGTCACATAGTTCAGGTACAGGAAGAACTCTGAGGAAKAGACTGAGGCTGGGAATATGGTGCAGTAACTTGGTTCTTTCAAAAATCAAGCCTTTAGTAACATCTCACAAGGGAACACAGCAGAACCTATGACAGGTCTTGCTCCACCATCCTCCCTGCTGTGTCTTTTCAGAAGAAAGAGGCAAATGTGGAATGATCATTCATAACTCTCCAAACACACACAAACRTTTTAAGAAGCCCTTTTTATTTTGCTCCAAACAAATACCACTTTGGTACCAACAACCACTGTTTAGGGAGCACAGGATCTGACATGCTAAAGCAAGCAATCTCCAAAACAGTTTTGTTGAATGGCAACACTGCAACCACATCCAACTTCCACCCCTGCAAAAGAATGAAAAGAAATGCAAGATCAAGAACCCAGGAAGAGGGTTAACCATTGGAAGAGTACAGGACATCAAAAGAGAATAMAATGTTTGTGCTGTGATGGCACTGCTGATGCCTGAAATCTGGCTCCTCATAGCAACCTTAACAAGCCTGCAGCACAATAAGGGAACTTCATGAGCAGGAGAGGTGCCGGCTCCATCAAGAGGCAGAAACATCCGTAAGTAATCCATTCATCACAGCTCTCCAATGAGCAAAACTGTTCAAACACATACCAACCCCCTGAAATCATGACCACCCCTATTTACACACTGATGCAAGCCAGTGTTTGTTTTTGCTGTCTCTCTGGCTTGCCCTCTGCAAAGGTACCATTCCYCCTCCTTGGATTGCTCACATAGTTTGCATATCAGTCGAGTGCTGTTGCCATAGCTACCAGAACATGCTAAGCCCCAATTCACAGCTGAACAAACGAGACTAATTACTTGCTTGATTTCATCACTTTTAATCAACAGGCAGAAATCTTCTCTTGAATTGTGCTGTTGGGTGAGTTAATGAACTTTGAGATACACAAGTTGATTCTTTAACCCCAGGATCTGCAAGGCAAGATTTCTGAAGTGGGGCTTTAATTATTCCTCCACTGGCAATCCACTCCAGCCCTATTTAATTTAATACTTCAATCTCATTTTAGCTGTAATGAGTGAATACAGCACCTTCAAACTTCATGGAGGCCACACCTACAACACTGACACTCAAACAGGGAAAAAGGTCACATGCAAAAGCCTCTGGGGACAAAGTAACTTTCTGATGCTTCCCACAATTGCCTTCGGTGTATCAAAACTAGAAACTGATCCCTCAGGCTGCACTCAAGCTATCACTTTCCAAAAGGAAGGCTGCAGAACATGTAAAGTAGCACGAAGCTTGGGATAAAGCCATGTCCGTAGTTAAGCTCTTTAGTACTTCAGAGAATTCACCCATTCCACATTGCAAAGGGATGAACAAACTGACAGCACATTTTTCTCTGGGAATTTCCCAGCCATAAATGGAAGCAGCTGCTTCTTTTAGTGATGGAGAGCAACTATTTAATCCCTTAAATAAGCAGCCTGACAGCTTGGGAGCAGCAACACACGCATGACGGAAGAGAGTTCATCCAGTTGTGTACATCCTTGGTGAACATTATTTTAGTAGCTATTATCCTATTAATACACTCCCATAATATGCAAGCAAAACAAATGTTATTTGGGAAAAGACTGTTCCATAAACCATTACTTTCCTCACTGTCACTTGCATTTACAAGATTTTCAGGACAAACTGGACTCTGCCTTTTGATATAATTCTGCAATCCAGTTTGCTTTCCAAGACTAAAGAAGTTTTATATTCCATAAACACAAAAATCTCTGGCCAGTTAATGTCAGTTAAAYTCCTCACCCTGCCTGATTCATGGTCCTAAAACACTGGAATTCAAACCTCTAAATCTTCCTCTTCTCTGATGAAGTGTCTACCCAAGAATCCTGGCTTTTTCTTACRAATGGCCTTTCCAGCTTGTGCCAGAGGGTTTGATGCATGAGCACTGCCCACCTGGAGGCCTGGACCATTTCTGCTCTTCCTGCAAGTATCACCCATCCCAAAGGAGCAACACAAGGCTAAAACTTTAGYAAAACAAAGAGTATTTTTACATTTACCCCTGAAAACACAACCAGTACATTGCAGCTCTGGTTTATAAAGCTCTAAACATGAAAACCACAACCATGGCCTTTGCCTTTTATTGCCAGGATCTGTTAAACCTCATCACAACCAACTTATTTCACATGCTGTCTCTACAGTTCCCTGTGGAATGCTGTTCAGGAAAACCTCCTGGTTTGCTACCGGGGACTTGAGGATTAAAGGGTGATTGGAGCTTTTCTCTTGTGAAGAGAAGATGATAATTATAATTCACAGAAATTAGCTTCTGAGAGCTTTCCTTAATAGCACAAAGGTATCAGCAAAATGTCATATTTAACTGAATTATGCATTTTCAGTTAGGTCAAACATGACCTTAACCTTGTCCAGCTGATCAGACTAACCAGAAYGAGCCTTTATTCCAGCAAAACTAGAGTGGATGGAAGCTTGAGAAGCATGGAGAGTCTGTGAGGAAAACCCACACTGCCCATGCTTTCCATCAGGCTTCCTCTGCAGCCTCACATGAGTGGCTCTCCACATAAAACCATGGAAGACTAAGCTGTTTAAAGACTGAAACTCCAGCCTCTAGAATTGATGAACTGCTGCAGAAAGCTCCAATTGGTGGCCAGAGAACAGATTAATGGCTCCTGAGGGCATACCCTGCCTTAAGTGTTGCAGGATTCTCTACAGATCAGATTTCCTGCTCCTGAGAGTTGCATGAATTCCACAACCAGTTGCTGCTACACTGAAGAAAAAAGAAAAAAAAAAAAAAAAAAAAAAANAAAAAAAAAAAAAAAAAAAAAAAAAAAAAAAAAAAAAAAAAAAAAAAGAAAAAAAAAAAAGGCAGCTAGGCAGTACTTGGAAAGATTACTGGCACAGTTTGTTTTTAAAATTAAGTGAAGCGCCTCAAAAGCAGTACTGGTTATTAAATCAGGGTGCATGTGAACCACAACCTGAGGGACTTTTTTTAGACTTTTTTTTAAAATTACAGTTTCTGTTCTATCCGGAGCAACTCTGTAACTCTTCCTACATCAGCACAATACCCACAGAAATGGTGGACATAAATGGAACGCTTCCAAAACCACTGAGGAATTCTAAGAGTTCCTTTGACACAAAACTGAGTCCTGTTACGTTATCAGCCTTCCTGCGAACACAACCCTCCATGGCTGCTGCTTTTGAATGTGTGAGTATTCTAATGTTTTGCCCTTTCTGGGCTGAAGAATTGGAGCGAATGTTTGTGCTGGGACTCAGCTGCTTCAAAGTTCAACTGCACAGACCATATTACTGTTGCATCCAA